GAATTAAGAATCCTAAGAGAGTGGAGGAGCTGGAAAGTAGAAGCCCAAGGTTTAGTGGGAGACTGGGGGCAATTGTTGGAAATTCCTGAAAAGGAGGGACATAGGCAGATGCCACCTAGAGAGCCAAGGAGGGGAAGGGAGGCAAGAGAGTGGGAAACTGCGGAGTTCCAACAGTGGGTATGAAAAGCAAACAGGTAAGAAAGTATAGCTCTTGGAACGCATGCAAACTCTCCAGTACAAGACACATAAATATGTCTCCAAAGGACTTGGAAGGAGACATTGCAGGTCACTCAGCAGCACCTACAGCAGGCCTTCGCCCTCCGAAGCAGCTGCTGGTAACTTCTGTTGGAGGCAGGAGACCAGAAGGGAAGGGCAGATCACCAGCCTGCTGTGATGCTTTCCCCCTGTCCCCCATGTTTCCCTTCAGGGTCACTTACTCTGCAGCATGTCCAGAAGTTCTTGGTACAAAACAGATGTAGTTGATACCGAACTGGCAAATGACTGATAGCGATCTGAAGAGCCTGTGAAAATAAAAAGGTTTTACCTCAGGCAGGGTTAACAGGAGACAGAAGGTGAAGAGGGGCCAGGCAGGGACAAAGCAAAGCTGCGTTAATCTGGTTTAACTGGTGGAACGGGCTTCCCACGCCCCCAGCCATGAACCAGTTGCTGTCTCACACAGACTGGCTGTCTCCACAGCAGTGTGGTCTGTGCTCCTCTTACTGAGCTTCCAGGCTGCTTCCAAAAGCTCTCGGAATTTCATCTACTTCCGGAGGGCCCCAGGCATTCAAGACAGACCCAGAATACCCGAGACCACATATACCAAATACAGCCACCTCTGTCTGGGTCTCGGGGACGTTACAGGGTCTAACAGCTATGCTTAATGTGAGACTTTTTAAACAGCACCAACTGTTAGTTAACCCAACCATCAAAATGGGACAAAGCTCAGAGGCCACCTCAGCTGTGTGGAGTCCTGGGCCAAGACTGCAGAAGATGAATAACTGGGTTGGGGTGCTGCTATTTAAAGACTGTTGTTTCTCCTCCAGTTCTCACCTCCTAGGTGCTGCACAAGCTCAGCTGAGAGCATGATTCAGTACAGAGCTTACCAAACATGGTGCTTACTTGTCATATAGCTCATAACACGGGTAGCCAGCTCCGCATAATCCAAGTTTGACCCATCTGCAGTGGTGATGACTCCAGGTGGGCCTGGAGGGCCTGGTGGGCCTTGGGCACCCATCAAATAATGCCTTACGTTGTCACCTAGGTAGGAAGTTCAAGATATGCCCACATTACTAGAGGGAAGACAATGGCCATATGCACAGTTTCTGGACCCTCTTCCCCTGGCAAAAAGCAAGCTGACAGAAGGACAGTTCTGCAGAGGCCACAGTGGGCAACAGCACTTCATAGTATTCAACAAAAACAAGGCCAGAGCAGTAGGGCTGCTGCTTCTAAAGGGAGAGTGACAAGGGGCTCAGGGAGCAAAAGAGACATAGGCATGCATCTGCTGACCCACGGCAAAATCGCATTATACTCACTTTTCAGGTAGTCAGCGACATACTGCTGAATCTCTTGAGATGAACTTCCACCTGGGCCAGGAGGACCAGGCGGCCCAGGAGGTCCCGGGGGTCCCTGAATTTGTCTGGATCCACCTACGGAAAGCATTGTAAGGAGAAGGAATGTTTTGGGCCTGGTTGCATTAGATGAAGTGATGCTGAAGCGTGCTTGCATTGAGCTCTTCCCACAGATCTGGAAGGAGCTTTGGGAATGGACTATGGAGGGTGTCCCACTTCTTCTCTAAACACAGTCTGAGCATCAGCAATTAGGTAGTATAACATCTTCAATTAATTCAGCATCTTGTAATTCAGCCTACGCAGCTCTGCAGGGCTGAGTCCAGAGACCTCCCTGGCTTCGTACTGACAGATGCGGTCAGTTTGTGCACCAGAGTGCAATGCTGTGCAGAAATACAGATAGAGATCCATAAAGCACTCAAGCTCATTAGGCGAACCTCAATGCCCTGCTGCACCAAATCCCAACCAGCCTGGGCAGCACCAGCTCAAGAACCTTCTCACTGATCTCCGTTGCAAGATATGGGTGGCCCTTGTGTGACTCCTGTCACCATGGCATTGAGCAACACCTCATGCTCTTTAAGGTGTCTGTCTTCCCAACACCCTGCGGTAGTATTCCTAGGACACGATGTGGAGAAGCAGAGGGCTTGTTCACGTGGAGGGATATTTACGTTAATCCATATGTACTTTTTGTGAAACTGCATTAATATCCTGCATACAGAGATGCTCTTATTTACCATGAAAGCAGCTTAATTCACATGAATCCACCTGAGGGTAAGTAAAACTGAACAAAGGGCACTTCTGTTCTGATCAGAAGTGTTTCCACAGGAGAGCTGAAGGCAGCTTCCCTAATCCCTTGTGGAACATTGTTAGCCAACCTGGAATCCCTTTCTTTCATGTCCCGTGAGGACAAACTCTGGCTCAAAGGATTCCCAGTAAGTTGGAAATAGCAAATTGCAATTCTTATATTGTCTGATTTAAGGCAGGCTGTGAAAAAAGAAGTTTTGAACACAAATCCCATCAGCATTATGTTGGCACCCACGCTTGTAAAACTCAAAGGAGCTTTTTCAAAGTCTCCACCTGGATGTCAGCATTTCTTGATAATAACAGAGCAATGATGGTGTGGTCTCTTACCTCGAGATGCTCCTGGGATGCCAGGAGCGCCTGGGACACCTGCATCACCTGGAAACCAGAGTGAGGGAGACAGACAATTGTAGTGGGTGTCACTGCATGTTGCATACTTGGTTGTGTAAAACAGTTGAGCTACATGTCATCAGAGGAGCAACTACCCAGCCCTAGTAATGAATATCTTGAATTAGCAGCTTCTTGGGGAAGAGCTGAAGGAAGAGGCCACAGCAGCTTTCCTGAGCCTTCTCTGATCTGCCCAGGTGCTCCGTGCTCAGAGCAGTTCTATTGCCATGGTCCTGCTCTGCCTGAAAAGCCAGGGGTGGCACAGCTGTTGTTCTCAAAGGACCAAGTTGCTCCACCCTTTACCGTCAACCACTCTTGGCTGTGTGAGGCCACCAGCAAATAAAGAAAGAAGATTCTTAACTTCACCTTTGGGTCCAGGTGGGCCTGGCGGGCCTGGAACTCCTGGAGGTCCCTGTATGGTGACTCTTTCACCTGCTAATTGCAGAAGGAGAGTCAGAGATTCACAGGAATAAAGTATGCGGACAAAATCCTGGCTCCACTAAAAAAACTAAGCTAGAATCAATAGAGCAGGATTTTGCCCCCTGGTTTCAGCCTAGGGACAACGAATTCAAAGGAGGAAAGGGGGCACAGACTAACCATGGGAGGAGAATGCTGAAAGGCCAGGTTCACCCGGTTCTCCTGCATGGGACACAGAAATGGAGGAGCAGTCATATACACAGGCAAGCTACGTTGCACCCCACGGATATCTCCTGGAAGCCTCCTTACCTGTGAATCCTCGTGGACCTCGTTCGCCTGTGAACAGGGAGCAGAGGAACAGTGTTAGCATTTGCTTTGGTCTGATCTGCAACATCCCAGCCCACACTGCAGAATATTATCACAGCCTTCAATTTGCACGGCAGAAATGGGTAAAGGGAGTAGGTCCCATGTTTTCCAGCCAGCTGAGAGCTGAGCTACGCTTCACAGGATGACCCCCTTGCACTGACTTCACCAAGTCCACACTGCGTTTTGCAAAAAGATTGTTACCCTTTATTGGCAACTCTGAAGCTTTGAACACTCCTGAATCTAATGGGCTTGCAAAGCTGGGATCTGCATACAGAGATAGCCTTGACACCAGTACTGGAGGCTAATAAATTTCTCTGACAAAGACTGACTTGTTTTATGGCAGTAGACATGAGTGACCACTGCGCTAGCTTTCTTATAGCCACAGAAAAGCAGGACACTTTCTGCTTCTAAGCCCTTCCTTCCTTCTTTACAGTCTGAGGTGCTGAGATCCATCTAGTACCTTGGTAAGACAGCAGGTTATACCCACCTTGGTCTCCCTTTGGGCCTGGTGGGCCTGGTGGACCTGGTGGGCCTGTGAAGAACGATTCTGTAATTAAAACAAAAAGGTTTCTTCATGACATCCAATACAATATGACACAAGTTTTCTGTGGTCCACCTGGTCCTAGCCAAGGATGTGCTCTCTGGAACCCCAACAGTCAGGACATTCCCAGGGCACAGGTGAGGGAATGAGTGGGAAGAACCTACCTGAGGTGGACATGGAAGATCCTGGTCTCCCTGGTGGGCCTGGAGGTCCTGGCAATCCTTCTCCTAGGCAAAAGGGACACAAACAGGTTTCAGGAATGATAAGCCTCAGCAGTGTAAATAAATGCGTGTCAGAGCTGCTACATCTCCAGCCATGGGCACACCTAAATGTTTCCAAATGTAGGCTAGTATCATTGTTTTCTCCACACACATCTACCCCTGTTAGTATTTTTCATTATCATTTGCCACCACAGCAGACGCAGGACAGAGAAACTCCCTTCTTTGTGGCACAGAGTGCCTCTCCCAGCTGGCCTTTACTACATTGAGAAGGTAGATTTCATCACACACCTGACCTGCTCGCCTTTGCTACGAAGCAGAGAGCAAGGAATGGGGTTATGCTCCTGTCTCGTGTCCTCCTGCACCTCCCCTCTCCTGGCTGCGAAAGGGAAATCTGTGCTACGGGAAGTGGAGTGGGGATATGTTCCTCATGATAAGAACCGCTCCATCTGCCCCACCTGGAAGTTAAGTAAGAAGTAAAGGCAGAATTGATTGCAGTTACTTCCTCTGGGGACTTGAGAACAGTGTCTTCCCAAAACGTATGGCTGTGATGAGTTACTGTTCTGGCTAGCAAACCTCTGCCAAAGCAAGCCTCCTCTCTTGGGCAGCGTCTTGCTGCTGTGAAATTATATTGCAGTGAAACTGTGTTAATAGGAACCTACTATGTGAAATTCTGCTTCCAATAAAGTCATGCCTACTAACTTCCACCAGGTCGAAGATTGCATCTGGGATATCACAAGGCACAGGACAGAGGCACTGGAAAAACCTCCCACTTTCCAGGTTTGTTTCAGAGAAACAGGCTCTTACCTGGGGGGCCACGAGGTCCAGGGGGTCCCTGTATAGATTCACCTGATGAAGACAGAAACAGGGGTATGACAGATTACTTATTCAGCAAACTGCACAGCCCAGAAACGTGTCATGTGTGTTAGCATTCCACTGCTTATGCACTGAACTCTGCTAGACGTACCTGGTGGTCCAGGGGGACCTGGTGGTCCTGCTCGCCCTTGTAAATCTGCCAGCACTGCGCAAATGAAATACACACACAAAAAAGGAAAATTGTTGCTATGGAGCTACTGGTGCTACAGAAACACTGTCATTACGTTGCTGTTAAAAGCTCTTACAGTCAAAGGTGGACTAAGGCAGGACCTGGGTGACCTCAGCCAAAGTTGACGCAGAGAGGGGAGAAAAGGGATGTGTTTGGCTGCCAGCACACAGGTTAGGACACGCAGCAAAATAACAGTGCTGAGCAGGCTGGCAGCATATAGGAAACAGGGAAGAGATCTCTGTGGAGAGTAATGGTTGCTGAGGAAAAGACCAAAGGACTCAAAGGCTACAGCAGGAGGGAAAGAACTTTCAAGAGGAAAAATTCTTTCAACAAGGGGCAGTTTTTGGGAGGACAACATTACACAGCCATTATTTGAAAAGGAGCTGCACTGTGTTATCTTGATTGGAGATGTATCCTCACCTCCAAGCTGAGGTAGAAACTCAAAGTTCAGGGATGCTGAGATCCAAGACTCCTGAATGAGGGACGGGACAGTACTGAAGCATGGTCTGGATCTAAATGACCGCATTCAAAGGGTGATCATGCAAGGACTAGTTATGATTTTATGCCCTTCTCTGCCTTGCCTCTTCTGCACACCCCAGATCCTAGCAATACTGACTGTAACTGCACCACACATCTTGTATCACACAGAGTAAGCTGACACTTTTCTCGGGATACTGCTAAACCATTCTGTTCTGCTCCACTTATTTTCATTTTAAAATAGCATTTGCTCCCCTGTGAATTTATCCTCTAATTCACAGAGAGATTTTGATTTCTGTTGCTTAGATTAATGTGCCTTTTCAGACTGGTTCTCCTCTTATGGATGGCTCTGTGTTTGTACTACATAGGGAACTGCCCTGTGTAAACACAGTGGCTAAAAGGCCAGGCTGAAACCTCACAGCTCTGTCACCACTTCTGCTGTTGAGGGCTGTTCACTAGTCACCGTTCCTTAGCTTTCCTCTCTGTGACATGGGCCTGGTGCCACCTATCTCCTACCTTTTGAAAGCACTTTGGGATGCACAGATGAGAAGGAGGGCAGAAGAAACAGCTGGTATTGCTGTCCCACCACCAAACATACACACACACACACATTTGCCCTATGTCACGTTGAGGCGAAAGAGGCAGAGGCATCTTCTGTCAGCTATGAGCTGGCCGTGAGGCCTCTGGCACCTCTCCAGGCAATGGAGTGGAAAGGCAGGCCCACTTACTTTGAGATGTTAATGATGAGACTTCTGTTTTGATAGTTTCTATCACAGCTTCTCCTGGGGATCCCTTCTCACCCCGTGGACCTTTGTCAGGAAAAAAAAGAGAAAGTAAATTATTTAACTGAGAGAGGGTGACATTTTGTACCCAGTCTTCACCTTCCTGACAACAGGTTCAGACTTTGCTTATGTGAACTGGGAGCATGAACCCAGTTCCTGGCTCTGAGGGACGCTGTATTCAGATGTGGAAACCACTGCACAATTTGCCCCAACAGGATCACAGAAAACTGGCTAAGAAAGGTTCTTAGGAGTCAGCTCTGTTTAGGCACTTGTAGACAGATGTCTGTCCAATTGGCAGTGGTTTCACAGTGACATTATTCCCAGCTTGGCTCTAGTGTGTTCTCCCACCTCTCAAAATGGCAGGAGGTATCCTGCTGAGCTATATCCTATCCCCTACCACAGAAAGACAACTGCACTTGAGAAGTGCCTTAGAAATACCAGCCTCTGGAAAAAATAACATAAGAAATAAAGACATTTGCAGCATCCACATCACACTGGCTCTTGCCACCCCCGCTTCTTGCCCTGGGAAAGAAAAAAAGAATAGAAACTCTTTACAAGATTAATTAAGCCAAATAATGCAGCAAAATGAACTACAAGGAAGAAATCTGCCAACAAAAGGGTGAGAGATTGTGCCAAGGGTGGAGAGAATTAGAAACAAAGGAAAACTAATGAATTCAGTTCTCTTAAGAAGCAGAATCAAAGCTGATGGAGAATGGTACCTTGCTGTCCAGGGAGACCAGCTGGTCCAACAGGACCTGGTTTCAAAGGAAAAAAACCCAAATTGCATTAGATTTTCCTGATTGTATTTTACAGTAGCAGGAAAGAATCAATAGGTTTTTTATAAGAACTGAGACTATCAAATAATGTGTTTGTCTGCACAAGGAAATGGAATTGCTATGGGGTATGAATCCATCAATGTCATCAATGTCCTGTGTATTACTTGAGGCTCCAGAGAAGAGGCTTATTTTCCATCATGTGGCAATTAAAGTGCTTGGTGCCTCTTAGACTGTGGAAACAGCCAGAATGTCACTGGTCACAATAGAAATGCAATAGGCCTAACCCTCCTCTTGCATTCCCTGCTGCAATTTGAGGTTAGCTCTACCAAACCAGCTCCAGGATTAGCTCCAGCTATACAGCTGGGAGAGGCACAGAAGTGCCCGGAGAACCAGGGCTCAGGAACTCTGCTGCCTGACACCAGTGTGCTGGAGGGCGGTGTCTGACCTGGGACAGAGGAGTCTGAGGACCAAGCTCATGCATAGCTAGAGTCTGTGTGTGTTTGTGTGAGAAATTTGTAGATGGTCATGTGGGATTTCTGCTGCCTTGAGTTCAAAGCTAAGACTGGAAAACGAGCACTTCGTAATTTCAGTAACAGTGCCAGGAAGGGCTTAGAAAAAAGTCTGCTTCCCTGAGAGGCAGAAGAGCTTGATTCTGCTCCCTGGATTTGACCTATCAGTACTTCATACTCATCACAACAACAGTGTTGCCAGTTTCTTCATCTTCTCAGCCCTCCCTTCTGTCCTGCCCCTCTGTGATCATATCCCATTTCTCCCTTGAGGCTGCTGCCTCCATAAGCCAGCCTGAAATCTTGGCCTTTCTGCAGGGAAGGGTGAGGACCATGAGTATCTAGACTGCCTGAGCAGTCTTGCCTCCCAGACAGAGCAGCCTGGCAGAGACAATAAACATCACACATTAAATTAAGAACTGGATGCACAGCAATGCAAGCTGCCTGCACAAACCACAGCAGAGAAGCAGGTTCCTCACCTGGAACACCTGGGGGTCCAGTGGGGCCAGCTGGGCCTGGGGGACCTGGTGGGCCTGGCAGAGCAATTGTTGACGAACCCTCTGAAACACAAACGCACACACTTGCACACATACACATATATGCACACATTCAGTGAACATGTAACAAATCTATCCTTAAGGAATCACACTTCTATAGCATATATATTCTTCCAACACAGGGAGTCCCAGTACAGGTTTGACACACAGTCTAGATGAATTTAGGAGGCATAACAAAAAACAGAGACAATTCTCCAAAAGCACAAGTGTTTGAACTCTCAAAGCACTACCTACCAGCACTTATAACTTTTCCTGGAGCTCCAGGTTCTCCTATGAAAAGAAAGAGAAAAAAGATTAATTTCTCTTTTGGGCAAGATTTGTCACTAGCTCATGACATTGTCTTTTTTAAACATGTGATGTCTGTTCTCTTTGTCATTGATCTTTTGTCTGATAAGTCACAGCACTAGAAGGTCATGGGGAAACCAGCAGAGCTTAGCTAATCCAGAGATATCCTCTGATCAGCTTTCCAAGCACTACAGCCACCAGAACAGGCAATAGGCCTTGATTTATCCGAGGCAGGCACGCAGCTTCCATTGCAGTCACCAAGCATCATACTCATACACCCAGGGCAGAACGCGGTTTGCTAAGGTTTTCTCAGTGGAGAACTGTCACACTGAGTGCCTCGGCAGATGCCCTGCCTTTTGTGTACGGTCAAGGAGGCTCTGGCTACGGTCTGTTTCTCAGACTTTCCCTTCCTAAAGCCACTAGATGCCACTGTTGATTCAGGGACCGGTCAGCAGAGCAGATAATCCTCCCTAAAATGAAGTGCTTAGAGAGAAAGTGAGTATTAGGGAAGAAACAAAACTCACCTTTAGCCCCTGGTCGGCCTGGGTTGCCTGGAAGTCCTGATATGAGGTAGATGAACAATTTAAAATGGTTAGTGCAAATATTGTTTGTTCTATTTTTTCCAGGAACCCCTCTGACTTTTACTTGTGGGTTAATAGAAGGAACTCCCTACTCAAGACCATGGCTTTCAGCATTTATAAGTAGTATATAAGCCGGTCCCTGATAGCAAGTGAAGGAATTCACAGTGGACTGTAGACTGAGCTGGTAGTGTCCCTGGGCATAGTTAAGGGCTTCCCTTCTCCCACCACTCCTTTGATGATGGCACTGCTCCCTAGATTTACCTGTAGCTTCTTCCAGGTACTGCTCCCTGTCCTGAGGCTCCTGGATAAATTCACTGGTGACCTGCCCCCCCAAACCACCTATGCTTGGAGACGACACATCCTCTGCTCCCACCTCTATTGCTACATCCTCTCCCCTCTGTTTCTGCTGCTGACTAGGTGTTCTCAGTGATGCACAGAGAACTGAAACATGTTCTTTGTTGCAAACTATGTTCAGGCGAGAGGCAAATTTTCAAACACTCCAAGGCCCTGCATTCCTCAGAAATCACACACCAACCACAAAAGCCCAGGGAGATGCAGAAACCTTGGGATATCACTTTGGAAGCCCCGAGCAGCACAGAGGTAAAATTACGAGGTGTTTTTGAGCCCATATCAAAGTGTGTCATTGACAAATTGGAATGCGGTGCAAAAACCTACCTGGTGGTCCTTGGGGTCCTGTGAGACCTGGAAGAAAAAGGTAAAAATTCTAAGATGTCTAAACAAATTTCAGGTGGGGAAAGGATAGACAGGGAGAAAAAGATTACATTTACTGAAAATTACAGCCCATAGCCCACAGGTGGTGTAAATTAGCCTAGCACCTGGTATGTAAACTGAATGTTGGCTCATAGCAGCTGATATTCTTGTTTGCAGTGTGTCTAATCCTGAGATCACAAAGGCTCTAGATTCCCTCTGTTTTCCTTTCATCACCACCTTACAGTACAGAGATCCTCTGCCAGCCTTAACTGCAAATTAAGACTGGGAATTGTTGACGAAGACATCTGTGTTCCTGACTAAGCAAGAAGTGTTTTTGGTGTCTGTACACTTTTACCTGGCTGTCCTGCATCTCCAGAGGGTCCTGGAGGGCCTCGGGCCCCTGGCATTCCCATAAGACCTGGTTCACCTAGGGATATAATCACCATTAACAAGCCAGAAGTCACTGACTTACAATCTACCAATCCATTCAAGCTTGGCCACCAGCTGTCCTGCAGCACTTTCTACCTGTTGTATCCTCACAGCCAACTGGCTATTTCCAGCATCAGTGCCTGGTAGGTGAACATCAATGACAGAAGAGTTCCGTAGTGAGAACTCTGTCACGAGTTTACAGCCAGCTCTGTTATACATCTCAGTTCCATGCTTACATGGTTGACTCTACAGTTCTGAGACAGCAAGATCCCAGAATATGAATCTGCTGCCATCTTCTCCCACCCCTTTTACATATTAACCTCCTTTCAAATCAGAAAGTACCTCCACTTTTAACTCAAAGGAATCCCTTACCTTTTTCACCCGGCTGTCCATCACGGCCAGCTTGTCCTGTCCAAAACAAAAAAGAGATTGTTAGGGACCGCTGAAATAGTACCACAGTTGCCCTGTCGTACTAAGCAGAGCACAGCCCTAAACACAAGAGAATGGCTTTTCATCATATCGCATCTGAAAGAAACCTTGGCTGCAGTTACTGAAGATCCACAAAAAGTTCACTTGAAACTTAGCTGTAAGACATCTTTTCTGAGTATACAGACTAATCTTAGCTATCTAGAGAAAATACCTAGGATCACAAGCAGTACAATTCCACTCCCATGTTGTTTCCTTCTCTGTGCTCATAGAAACACACTCTGGGTGGAAATGACATTGCCCCACATATAGACACAGCTGCTTTCTGTTACCCACCTACAGGTCCTTTAGCCCCTGGCTCTCCTGGAGGACCAGGCATTCCTCTTGAGCCTTGTTCACCTGTAGCGAAATGGTATGAAAATGAATCAAACAAATCTTTGTGAAGATACAATTTCTGTCTGTCAGCAATATTTGGTGCTTTGCAATTGAAAAACAGCATTGACAGGATGTTCAAGCCTCATGATTTGTGACCTTCTCTGGGCATTAGAAAAGCTCAAGTGACATGAATACAGGGCACATGAGGGAGAATTTCCTTAAAGCTAAACACAAAGATTGCTACCAAGATCATAGAATCACAGAATCACAGAATGCTTTGGGTTGGAAGGGACCTTTAGAGGTCATCTAGCCCAACCCCCCTGCAGTGAGCAGGGACATCTTCAACTAGACCAGGTTGCTCAGAGAGCCGTCCAACCTGGCCTTGAACGTTTCCAGGGATGGGGCCTCCACTACGTCTCTGGGCAATCTGTTCCAGTGTTTCACCACCCTTATTGTAAAAAATTTCTTCCTTATATCTAGTCTAAATCTACCCTCCCTTAGTTTAAAGCCATTGCTCCTTGTCCTATCGCAACAAGCCCTGCTGAAAATATTTTCCCCATCTTTCCTACAGGCCCCGTTCAGGTACTGAAAGATTACTGCACTCAAGAATGGGATCTATTTGTTTAAAACTTGGGTGTGGAAATAAAACTCCTACAACAAATAACATTACTACACTTTTTCAGAAAGCTAACTAGGATTGGCTGGGCTATACTGTTATTCGAAAACTCAGATAATACACATGTATATTAGATAGGCTGTAACTCCAGGAAAACAATCCACTGACCTGTCATTCCACGAGAACCCTTCTCACCCTGATCACCTGCGGCAGAAAAAAGGGAAGGATTCCGTGAGATTGTTTCATTGCAAAATGTTTCCATCAGAGAAAATAAAGTTTGCTTACTGACAAAAGCTCAAAAGAAAAAGCCAAAGAAGGATAGGGTTAATACCCATGGACAGGATACACATCTAAAGGAATCCAAAGAAAATATCCACAAAAGATATCTAATTGATCAACATACCTTTGGGTCCAGGGGCTCCAGCAGCTCCTTTCTCACCTGAAAGATATATAAATGATTAAAGAATAGTAATAACAAGTCCGAAGGCAAAGGAATTACACGCATCAAGAAAAATCACAGGGGAACTACAGATACTCTGATATCACAAAATCTCCAACTGGAAATTCCTTTCCTTCAATATAGCTCCATCCATCCAACCATGTTTCCTCATCTAGACTGCTCTATTACCTCTGTGTCTCTTGTATTTCTCAATATTTGCTTGCAATCACTGATTAAGTTTAGTTCCTCCTCCCCTTTCCTCAGTGTTATGCTTTTCTTCGCCCCTAGCATCAAAATGCTACAAGCTCAGACCAAGTCTACTACTCAGAGCAGTGCTAGAAAAACACATCAGCTAGTGCTGCTGTAATTGTCAAGGGGAAGAGACGCTTACCTTTAGCACCTGGGAGACCTGCTTCTCCTCTAAATCCTTGTAGGCCAGGAGGACCTGCAGAAAAATGAGATGGAGGGTTTAATTCATCCCACTCGCCATTATGCATCAATGAAGAAGAAAAACTATGAGCAGCTGTCACTGCGCTTTTGTTTTCTCTGGTCTTCTAGATGCCATAGCAAAGGAACGCAACGCAGCACTCACCTGGAGGACCTTGTGGGCCTGGAGAACCCATCAGACCTGTGAATAAGGAACATGGATTTTATTTCAGTAACACCACAGTTAGAAAATGAACTAACCTCTTTTGGTTTGCCCACCAGCATCCACAACCCAACAGGTGTTTAGCAGATTGGAATTGCCCCAGCCACTGGAAGACTTTGCATCACTGATATCCTCAAAACCAGAACAACAAATCTGCACAACTTATTTCTTGCAAAATAGAGGAAGTGGTTTTCCCTAAAGTAAGGTAGAGATGCTGGGACCTGTGCTTCAGGTGGGACCCATTTTTTTATACTGCAATTTTTATCACAGTTAAATGGATTGCAGAGCTGTAACTCTGTTAGAAGCCTGTTAGGTATATGCAGTTTACCTTATTATTTCTGAAAGCAGAGAAAAAACAGCTGGAAACATCACACATCTCAAAGATTGGTGTTTTGAGAAACCTCCCTGCCAATCCCCATTCTCACTAAAATTCTCCAAGAATTTATTGCTCTAGGTGTCCCTACCAAAGTAAATTTTATCTAAAATGAGGACCATTAGTTTGCTTTTCTGATTACTGCAGTGCAACACAAGTCAAACAGGAAGGCTGGAGTGCTCATTTACTCCTAACTAGTCTGCTAGGCTCTCTGTGTCCATCTTCATATCTACCTTTCAGGCCAGCAGAACCTGGGGGACCAGGTGGCCCTGGAGGACCTGGCTCACCAACAGCACCTGCAAAATAAGAGCATGAATAGATACTGTAGAATACAATTGTGATCCAATTTTTCCATTATCCCATCTCCTATTACTCTTTCTTTGGCACATGTCATGAATAATCTGCTGGTCAGTTCAAAACACACAAATAAGCATGCACTGTCCTAGAAAAAAATCCCATCTCACTGGGCTTTAGGATGAACAAGACAAGTCCCCCAGCTTTGGTGACTTGGATAACAGGGAAGAAGATGACCTTGATACTAAATGCTTTTGGTTCTGCCAAACTCAAATCTGACTGTGAGACCTGGCAAATCAAAACAACCCTTGTTTACCCATTGTAAGTTTGGCAAAAAAAATCCCTTAGGCCAGATTTGTCTGTGCTGGGAAATACCTGAAACTAAATCTGGATTTGAATAATCAAACCAAATTCCATCACTGAGCTGTTTTATAAATCAGGATCAAACTCTAGCTTTTTGTCCACCTCTGCTTTATCCAAGAATGGGACATCTGGTTCCTACCTCTATCTCCTTTTTCTCCAAATCCAGGTGGTCCAGGCTCCCCTCGAAGCCCTGGTAGCCCTTCTCGACCTCTTTGTCCCATGGGACCTTCCGTGCCAGGATCACCTAAAGGAAACAAATCCATTGTAAAAAAATGTGTCTTTGTGGGAGGCCTTGGGCCCCTCGATGGGGTAAGGCAATGATCACACCAATCTGGCATCTGTATTCCCACACCATGCGTCAATCAGTTGTGAGAGACTCACAGCACTGACAGAGATGCTTACCCATGCTGCCTTTCTGTCCTTTGGGTCCTTCTGGTCCTTGGTGCACTGCCCAATTGGACCATGAATGCCTGGAAAGAAAAAGACAACCGAAGTTCAGAGTCCTTGTCTGTGTACCATGAAGGAATAACATACAAATCAGGGGAACCTGAAGCCCGGAGGGATTCATCAGCTGGGGCAAAGAATGAGTTACTTGGAAGGTGCACACAGGGATTTCTTTAGAAGAACATAATACATATAAGGGCACAGGGGAAACTGGGCCAAGTTCTCATGCAGCTGTGGGACTCTTTCAAAACTAGGCTAAGATCTTCACAACCCCAAATTAGGCATGTTCAACTAACTGGAAGCCAGGCTGAGGCCTTGCTTGTAACCAAGTCTCCGAGCTGTGTCTGTAGCTCAGCACCAAGGTATTACTGAAGTGACTTAGTCTATGCTAAATATCAGCTCTTTAGAAAACAACCTTGAGCTAGCTTTGCAGTGCAAAATTTGTTCTTGTCTACAGCAATGTCACTAAATGTCCTCCCTCAAAGGGGAACTGTACTACTGCCCACCTGGGATACCAGGAAGTCCTCGCTCTCCTGTAGGGAGAAAGAAATAGACAGTCAGTGGTGAACAGGTCTCCCCTTTTGTCACTTTGGCTGACCTCACTCCCCCCTGTAAAAAGGAGTTTATGTTCCTGGCATGTTTAGAAGTTCTACCATCAGCAATGCCACATTGAGCCCTTGTATTTATGCAATGGATTGAATCATTCACACCGTACAAAATCCTCTGAAGCACTCTGAGTAAACCAGGTAGAGCTTGGCTTCAGGAATGACTTTCATCCAGGTGAAAGAAGTTTCTAGATTCAAAGTGAGATCTCTCTTCTACTGTGAACTTTAAAATTGTCTTTGCCCAGAAGAAGAGCAAAAAAACCCTATCATCACAACAATATCTGACCTACAGAATGCATCAGCTTCCCTAAGTCCTGGAGTAACAAAAATCCATTCGCTACCCAGGCCCTATGGCAGGCTGCCAATCTACATGAGAAAGCAGGTAACTCCAGACTCACCTCTGGGACCTTGCATTCCCATGTCACCTGAGAAAAGAGGGAGGAAAAAAGTAAAATCAGAAGAGATCCTAGAGATATTTCCAATGATTACTCATTCACTTTGTTTTTCTAGTTGTGCTCCCACCTTCAGTGAAACATGAAAGAGTTTTGGGTGCATAGGGACACTTCACACTGGAATAGCACAGGATCAGACTCATCCCACTAGTGGTAAACAGGATCTGGCCTTTCACGCTGGCATAGTGCAACACTGGGCCTCCTGTATTAGTTCTGCATGGGATCAGACCCTCTACAATATACGTGTCAAACTAGCTTTGCACTCTTTTTCCTCAAGTATAAACCAGCTTCATCTTTCTCACTGCCAGTTGCCCCTTGTGGTAATATCCACCCCAAACTTGTGCATTCTCAGAGCCAAGGAATAGGACGGGGGAAGAGAAGGACTATATGGCTGTACCTTTCTCACCAGGTTCTCCTCTCTCCCCTCGGAAGTAGCCTGTAATGGGAAGTGAAGGGGTTGTTAGAGTGTATTACACAACAGAATAGCTACTTGCTTCACACACAAGGATCCTTCTATTTGGATTTTGAGGCTGCAGGCAGCACAGGCTATCAAGCACAGCATGGCTTTGTAAGTAGAGTTTCCTCAGAAAATTTGCTTTTGCAAATCCACAAAACTTCTGAAGCTGGGAGAATGTAGGCTTCTCTGTTCTTAACCTTTTTCCATCATCTGCTAAACAGAAGTAAACCACCTTTCTCCTGCTAACAAAAGTAGCATGAGAAATGAGGTGTGGGTTCATCTTCCTGTGTAGTTCTTTCAAAATGGAAAACTCACTTGCCACAGCAAACATGACACATCCTGGCACAGGACGGCATGTCCATAACCTCCTTTCTTCTCCCTTTTTTGCTAGCTTTAAGGGATGCACCACCAGCACAGAGGTGCAGCAAAGTGGGAGCACTTTGAGCTCCAACACAGACTGTCTGTAAGCACAGATGAGGGCAAGATTTTTGACAGACTTCACTGCACTCTAAAAGTCCTGGTCTTTATGTCTTTGGGCAATCAAATCCTCCCACTCTCCTTTAAATAATCTGGTCTCATGCAGCATCACAGACACTGACGCTACTCACCTCGTTCTATTTCCTTGTTCAGTCTGTTCTTCACCATCAACCAAACTGACTCTTCATTTTCGTAAGCGAAGGTTGAGGAAGGTGAAATACCATGAAGAAAGTCTACTCTTGAAACATCTTTTTCTATTTTTGAATTCCCTTGGTTAATTGTCAGGAGGCCACCATTGATTTTTTCCAGGTTTTCCACACGAGATTTCAGCTTTCTCACTTCGTCCGCTGGAAGGTTAAAGTAAAATGCTAGGGAACATTCTATCACAGAGGCATGCCTGAAATACCTATTTCTCATAGCGGGGACAAGGCAACACTGCGTCAGGTAGCTATGGCTACTGAATTTTGTAGGATTATTTTGTATCTTTTTTTCTAGCAGGGATATCTGGAGCTTAAATGACAATTTTGGAATCTGTTAGTCTCTGAGAAGACCTCAGATCTTAAGAGTTTTAATATCCTACTAACCCCAAGACTACATAACCCCTCCTGACAGGTTTATATTCCTTATCCATTCTCTATGTCCTTTTGTAATACCTTAGTGGCAGTCACCAACAAGCTGAATGTGCTCCTCAGTTCTCTAGCTTGACATCTCTGGTACTTGGCCTCTTTGCCAGCTTACACCCTCTGTTTGTCCTCCTATCCCATTCAACATTTTGTGCTTCAGTTATTTCTTACCCAGAGCAATGAGTCCAAAAAGCAATCCAAGCAGAAGCAACCAGGCCAGAAGCAAACCCAGGAGCCATTTCCACCAGCTACAGCAGGACCCACAGGGACACCAGGATGGTGCTGATCCGATTGCACCCCCCACATCTCCATTTCGTATTTCTGGAAGAGGGAAGGGGCAGTCTCCTGGTTAATGAAGAGTTCCTTGACTTCAGAGTCAAGAAGCTCTTGAGAATAAGGACACCAAGGTCTAACTCATTACACAAAGGGCTATGAACAAAAATCTTTACACCACACTGCACACGTTGGGTATAATTCTACTCCCTGTGAAAGCTGGGAACAGCATTCCCAATGGGAATTCCAACAGGGGACAACACTCTGTGCTTTATAAAATAACAGTTGAAAAATGTGATCTCCTTGGGGTCAATTTTTTGTACAATTTTGAGCCACAAATGACAGTAATAGCCAGCATAGTCTGTCTGAGCCTTCTCCTCCCCATAAACCTGTCTGGGTAGCAGGATGCAGCTGTATTGTAAGCTATCCAATTTCCTACAGCAATAAAAAATACCCCAACTGTCCACTCATCCATAATCAAATCATTGGTACCAATTTTGCTGGTGTGTGCTCTGCTCATGACAGACAGAGCAGACTCCTGAACATGCCTTCCCTTGATGTCATTGCACAGAGCTCACCCATGTCACTCAAGAATGATTGTTTTTTTGTATGTTGTGCTTTGGTGCTCCCTCCAATGAAAGTCGGAATCCCACCACTCACCTGCGTAAGTTGCTTTGTCCCTTGTTGGCACGGATTTCAGTCCTCCTGTTTTAACAGCAGTAAAACAGATGTTAACAGGCTTTCTATGAATGATCAAACTTAGAGCACAGGCCTGCAATGGGGAGGTTGTAATGGAGGCAGATGGAGAAAGTTCTATTGCATTGCCACAGGGACAAACTCTTACCATTTGCATCTGATTTTAGGCCAGTATCTGCAGCGTAAGAGGAGGAAAATCCCTGCTTCTCTTTCTTCAAGGTGTCTTCTACAAAGGATCCTCAACAGGAATCAAATATAATGAAAAAGATTACACCAGAAGTTCAACCAGGCCTATCTCCTTTCATTGGCAAAAGGTATGTCTTCTACTGGGAAGCCACAATAGCTCTGCTGTTTAAACTAGATCTAGTTCTTGCTTTCAAAGCTCCTGAACTTTGTGAAATGTTCCAAGGCACACTCTGGACCTTCAAATGCAAAAGCTAGACCTAGACTGCAGCTGGCATGGTTAAAGGCTAACTGCTTGCCACAGCTTCTTTTTTGCCTTGCAGGGTTTGAGTCAGGTGCAGTGTCCTGAACTCTGAGCTCCCCCTGTGATCAGTCTCCATTTCTTGGCCATCAGCATATCCACATGTCTTGAAGAAGAGAAGTTACCTCCATTTAGCCCAGTGGTAGAAGCACTAAAGACTTTGCCACTGTCCTTTGTCATGATCAAGAGCTCCATCTCCTCCTTTGGTGGGGCATTCTCCTTCTCCAGCAGCAGGAATTTGCAGTCTTTGTGCAGAATGTCATCTCCCTGGGAGCTCAAAATGGTTCCCCCTGGTATATTGGCAAAGGATGGGAAAGGGGAGGAGATGAGCATGGGCCACTGTGTATTAACTACAAGCCACAACACTTTTGTTCATTAAAATAGGTAGTCCCATTGTGTTTAGCATTGCCACTACTATAAACACCCAGTAAGAGACCCACTGGTCACTGAAGCTAAGATGAGACCTGGAAGTGTCATTAGGTTTCTTTAGAGATGTGTATTTCACTAGCAGGGGAGGGACTGCTACCAGAAATGCAAAGCATCTGGAATTCAATCACATATAGAAATGTTTTGCTCAATAACCTCTTCACTTCTCAAACACACTTACTACAGAATCATAGAAACTCAGTCTGAGAGAGATGTTCAAGGGTCATCAGACCCAGTACAGTTCAAGCTGAGGAGCACCTTTAGCAGACCTACTCTGTTAAGCATAAAACACTCCATATCTTTCTGAGCCAGGCATGGTTATGGGGCATTGAACTGTAGCTTACTGAGGTTTGGTACAGGCCAAATCAGGCTCAAAAACATTTAGTATGGTCACCCTTCTGCCATTAGACAATATCAAGTATGCCTGGAATGGTGTACAAACCTGAATTTGCACACAAATTGATACAATATTGAAAATCAAGATAACCAGAATGGTATTATTCCATTAATCTAGCACAAACCTGGAGTAAACCTGTATCAGAAATGTTATCATAACTTCTGTGGTATTTACATCTATTTTTAAGGCTCATTTTTGGGAGTCCTTGGATTATAAAAGAAACTTGGCTTCTCTTATAGAAAAAATAAAAGACTAATTTCTAGCTCTCAGAGTTGCAGAAAAAAGACTGGAAAGACGAATCCCAACCATTGAAGGACAAAAGGCCAGTAGAAAGACCTCAACTTCTCTCATTAAAAAAAAAAAAATTTGATCATGTATAAGTCAAATCCTTGACTTTTGAGTGGCTGAAGCTGGTACTACTGCAAAAAGATTTTTAAGAGTAACCTTGCAAATGTTACTGCTTCAAATGAAGCATAATTTCACACGTGTGATCTTCTATCCAGTTACCTGCCTGTTAAGCAGAAATAGTTGTAATTAAATCATCCAAGTGACCGCAGAGTGGGGGAGATCTGAATTAGACCAGCTCATTTACTCATTCTTCGCTTCTGGCTTATTTGCTTTCTTTCCAGAAAGGTACTGGTAGGAGACTTGGCTAGTGACAAGTCATGCTCCTGAGGAGCCTGGTGTTAGTGTCAGTCAGCTGGCTGAAATCTCTAACTCGTTTTTATCATGACATGCTTGTACAAGGTCTTGCTTAAACAACTGTGAATGACACACTCACCCGCTGAGGCAGACACACCAGTACTTGCCATGGTGTTGCTCTGAGAAGTGTTCTTCATCCCATATGCTGCAATGAAGAAATTTGAGAATGAAAGAGATGAAGGATAACAAGGTATACATACACACCACAACCTTGGGCTGCACACCATTTAAAAAGTCTTTTCTCATTCAGGGTACCTAGGACAACTCAAGCAAGGGCTTCCCCAGCAAGCAAATCTCTAGTGCTTACATAGGCACTGAGAGCTGTTCCGGCACATGCAAAGCAGAGGACATGTTCCTCAGTACCCCCTCATACCACACTGCTCCACACAAGAAAATGGTAATGAAGGAGCCTCTGAACTTTCCAGTCACTACAGAAAAGGTGAGAGAAGGTAGCACACATTGGTGACTCTCACACTTTTTCTAAGCTTAAATTGTTGCTGACCTGCGGAGGCTGCAGTAGCATTCTGGGTCAGGGTTGGAGAGCTTGGAGACAGGTTGTTTTGAACTCCAAATACTGCAAAGAAAAACATTGCAATGGGTTTTATAGGCGTCCTGCAGTGCAGGTGGTATTCTGGCTAAAACCAAAATGAAACCAATGATAATAACAACAACCTCTCTGAAGAAATTTCACCAGCTAGCTGGAGGCATCATAGGCCTAAGCATTTCTGTTCAAAGATCTTCCTTTCAAAATGTTTTTTTTCCTTAGGTCATTTTGCTGTATAAGTTATTCTTGGTCCGGGACAATAATGGTGACCATTTTAAAACATCTCAAGTTAGACTGCAAGGCCATTCTCATGGCTGTGTGGACATTTCTGCAGGTGGGTTACCTGGGAAAAAGGTAAATTCAGAAAACTGGGTTGGTATGACTAAGGGAAATTTAAGGAGATAACTGCACATAGTATGTGTCAAAGTACTGGCCAGAGAGAAGCAAACGGCTTGGAAAGTGGCACCTTTGGTGCCAGAATCAGTGTGGCAATATCGGTGCAGTATACAGACTGCTCTCATCCACCTTGCTCTCTCTGCAGGACCAGTCAGAGACCCTGCATGATGGCACTGTGCTGTGTAGACACAGTGTGTGTGACTGTGAAAGGAAGAGAAGTGGTTTAGTGACACTGAAGAGAGTCTACCAAAAGCCATGAGCCAGGTGAAGCAAAGGGAAATTACAGGGAAAACTGACAAAGGAGCAGTGGGCCTTTATGCATTAGGACACGAGTTTATTTTTTAAGGTGCTACCCTGAGTTGTTCTAGGGAAGAAACAGGCTGGCCTAACAAGAGTCTTTCAACAGACAAATTATTCTCCTCAGAAAATCTCTAGTTTTCCCTGCCTCCCAGGCAAAAATAGTCAGGAGCTAACATCAGCTATACAGGGCCAGCTCAGAATAAATCCACTGTAACCAAAGAATAACTGGGTGTGCAGACAAGCTCCTGACACTGAGATGAGTAACAAAAGAGAAACAAAGTGATGTAGCTATTCTTTCATTGTACATGTCTTCCAGGACTGTGGTGTTGTGAAAGCATGAAGGGAAGAAGAGAAAAATCTGACCTGTAGAGGAAGTACTCAGTCCTGCATTCAGAGTATGATTGCTGGGAGCCAGGTTATTTGGAACACCAAAAACTGCAAAAACAGGAAGTGAAATGTTATTACTTCTCTGGAATTAGAAATCCAGCACCTGAAGGTCAGTGGCACAGTCACAGAAATTAAGTCAGAGTTACTTGGAAATGCAGTTAGTGAAAATGCACAATAATTGCACAGAGGAAGAATCTTGAAAACTGTGACACTAAACTACCCTTTTACTGAATTGACAAAGGGAAGAAAATCCTACATCAGTCAAGGTGCACTCATAAGACACTGTGAGAAAGCAAAGCTTTTAATAGTATGCTATTATAAAGCTTCCTGTGTTTTTTGCCTGCAGCTGAGAACTGCAGCATCCCTGGCATTTAGCAGTGAGTCTTACAAGGTATAAACACACTCAACACTTACTGATCATATCTTTAGTGTACAAGGACTGAAGGGTTAGGCTCAGTAGTTCTTACAATGGGCCAGGATAATCCAATGTTCACTAGAGTCTGAAACTAGTTTTGATAGGGAATGTGAGCCTGACCTCATTGATAAAGCTATCATCAAAGTTTAGCAACAGATGAGGCAGTCAGGACAATAGATCCTCATGAAGAAGGATTTTCAAATATAGCCAGTGTAGAAGCAGAGAGCACCAAGCTACAGAAAACCAGAGAAAATTCAAGCATATCCCCTGCATCTCAATTCTTCCGTCATTTTAGCTCTTCTTGCTGTGCAAGAAAAAGTACTGCTGTTGATTCACTTTCAGTATGGACTTACATCCTTCAAGCCTGGGTGGTCCAGGGAGCATACCTGATCCTGTAGAGTGAGACATAGCATTGATCAAGGAAGAGCTGTTATGGTATCCACCAAGGGAAGACCCAGCAGGCAGAGTGGAGGACCACATGTATGAAGGGAGGGCGGTATTCAGTATGGTTGTATCATATGTACCTGACACTGTGAAAAAAACCCAAACAAGTGGTTTTCAATGAGACTAGGCTTGTGGCTTAGTATGCATTGCAGGTTTACATGGCAAAGAACTTCATCTGCCTTAAATTTCAATTACCCTTGTGGAGTCAACACAATGACTCCAGGTTAACATGGTATAACTAATCTCAAATGCCAGCTGATTAAAGCCCACCTGAATGTTAACCATTAGAATAACAATTGACCTGATAGCATGATCAGTCACAAAACACCTTGAAGAGATTTCATTGCTTATAGATGCTATGATATCAGAATCAAACACTCCAGTCTGCCATTCTGTTAATAAATCACCCCAGGCCATGGGATGTCTGACTTCTGCTTCCCACGTGTGGGTCTCATTGGTTCACTAGTGTATTGGACTAAAATTCCCAGTTTTAGACAGGATTTGAGCCATGCACAAGAAAAAAGGTATTGCTTGTTCCTAGATCCTGATGGAGGGCAGTGGATTAAATGTGAGTATCACTGCCTCAAGCACTGTGGTGAAGCTTATAAATAATAAATTCTGGTTATAGTATTTTAAGTACCACTTCTATTATTATCATGCTCTAGTGATCTCTGAACCATATGGTGTGGCCAATAAATCAAACACTGACCCAAACATTCTCTTCAGTGCTATCTCCATCGTGCTTGGAGATAAGAGATCAAGTCACTCTAAGACGTGTTTGCTTAGAGCTCTTGTCTCTGCCAGAAGCACCTCGGAATTAAAGCTGGTGGCAGCAGGAACTGGCTTATTTTTATGGAAATTAGACAAGTCACTAGAAAGCTACCCAAGATAGCTCTTGTTAGGGCAACATCTGGATAGCCCTCCAGCACTCTGTCCTTTTTCTGTATTGCCACCACTGTCTGGGACAGAGACTATGTCTTCTTACTCGGATGTTCTTAGCAACAGGGTAATTTTACGGCAAAAAATGTTTGGAATGGCTCCAGAGTTGCTAACCGTCCTCTGCCAAATACCTGACTGAGAGCTTTCAGTAACCATCTTTGTCTCCACCACAGCCTTTTTCGGTATCGGGAGCGTACTTGACGGTGATCGAGTAGGGCTGCAGCTGGCTGATCGACTTCCTTTCAGCAAACGTTTCACCTCGTCCAACTCTGTCCCTGGCAGGAAAAGCAAGTGTCCAGACTCACCCAAAAGCCATTGTTTCATTGATCTGTAATCATGCCCTGGCTAAACCATTCAGTGGAATTTACCTGTGTCTGTGCAGTTGTACTTTCTGGGGGTGTAATTTACTTAATGACAAAGCTTCAGGGCCTCATTTCTGGGACTACGTACAACTACATCCTCGCAAGACCACCATCTAACCTACAGCATGCTTCCTTGTTCAGAAAGGGGAGACAGATGAATGTTCCTAACAAGAAAAAAAGAATGACGTGCTGCTATCTGTCATCCTGAAGATCGGGTCCCAGAGACACTACAGACATACCCAGAGCAGCAACACTCTATCTTATACCTGATCCCCCTAGAATACCCTCTTATACACCTCTAACTTATACGTCATCCCCCTAGAATAAAATCCATGGCACTTACATCTGCCAGAGGGAGACGCGCTCTGCAGTCGGACTCGTATTTCACTCTCTAGGAAGAAAAAAAAGCAGATCATGAATATGGAGTGAGATGCATTTGTGCCCTGGGCTGAGAATGACTTTTTAGGCAGAAGTGAATTCTTTCCTTCTTGCTGCCTGTGTTCCATCTTGCTGTCTTGCTGTTTGATCTGAGCAGCACCCATGGCCCATGTGAATTGGATTTAAATTGGTTTGGGTGACTTTTTGTTTTGGGGTCACATTTTGCTACTTTTAATTCCAGAGAGCTGTATTTTACTCATTGAGGGCCTCTGTTGAAGTCAATAGCATTGTTACTGCCAGACATACAGAAGGCCTAATTATGCAGTCCTCAATCACATTGATAGTCCCACTTATCACAATTATTATTATTATTATTGTCCTTCTTGACAAAAACCTAGAGAGCCAAAAGAAGCTTACTAAATATACAAATTCCCTACTAGTTCTTGAGTAAAATTCACACAGTCATCTCTACAATGGGCTGCACGATTTAGTCTCTTACAGCCTGCTGACATCTCTTTTGGCTCACTGAATGTAACCAGGCCAGTTTTAAGCCAACATTCTCACCAGGTACTCAATTTTATTACTGACTTTGACTGTCCAGCACAAAAGACTATAGATGAATGTGATTTGGTTGGGGCAAGCCTTTAAGCTTGCTACTCACAAGCAACATGTGATGCACACTCCTCAAAATGAAATCTGACAGTACATGCACTATAAAAGAAACACTAGCTCTGGCATTCATGTGGAGAAGCTGATAGATTGGAATTATTCTCTGAAGTAATATGAGAAGCTGGAGCTTATTCTCTGGTGTCTGCTTCATAACGTATGGCATAGTTCTGCTGGGAGCTCAGGTATGTAGTGTGGTAGAGGAGACTGAGAAGATCTGAGGTAGAATAATTGGTAACTGTGACACTCTTGAGAAGGAGTGTGCAAGAGCACGCTTTGATTTATATCCACCGCTAAAATTAACTTGGATAAAGTGACATTATAGTTTCCTCTTCAAGGAACTGGGAACAGATATTACGCTCTTACAGAGCAATATAATCCTGCTTTCCCCAACACTGTTCATAAATTATTAGAATAGCTGAATGATTTAAACAATGCAGAGCTTTACAGTGACCACAGCAAGTCCATAATTTCCTCACCATCTCCTTACTACCAGCATGAGATCATTTCAGGGTATAGCCTTCTGGTTTGTAAAATAGATGGCAGCAGGAGGAACATGAATACAATTACTGTAAATATTTCAGAGGCAGGTCACAGAGCATGAATGGACTGAGTTTATGGTGAACAGAAAAGATGGAAGACTATGTCCTATCCCCTGATAGGATATCCAGATGTCCTGGTCCCCAAGGAGATCCTCCTTTCTGACACAGTCCAAACCACCATGACCTTCATTAGGGTCAATTTTTACACCAAGCTTGTTCAAGCAATTGCTTACTGATAAATGGTTCACATCTGCAGTGGTGTAAATCCATGCACCTCACCTGACTGCTCTACACTTAAACTGGTTGATTTCAGCAAAGGAACAGGTCCATGTAACACATCCTGAATCATACTGAAGAAACCAAAGGAGGCTTCTGAAAGCACAATACTACTCACCTCGACTTTGGCTTCGCCCTCTTGTGGAGGCAGATGCTGTGAACAGCAATGAGAGAAAATATTAGGTTTTACTGCCTGTGACACCTCTGAAAATGAACACACAGCTCAGAGTGCTTAGATTCAGACAGTAACATTCTTTACTTGGGGCACAGCTGGGGGAATTGAACCCTCAGAGTTTTTACCAAGCCCCTTTTAGACCATAAGGTGTCTTAAAGAACAAGTAGCACCTTTTGCATTTCTGGACCAGCTGCTGTTTCTTCTTGTACACATAATTGTTGTTCATGGATGGTGATCTCCCATTTCAACAGGTCAAGAGGAAGCTAATAGGCCTGTTTACCTCACCAATCAAGGTTGCACACTGTGAAACCCTGCTTCCTCTCTAAGCCAGAAAGACAGCCTGATCATATTGTTTCACTGTCTGCGCTGAGTAGAATCGGCAGCTCAGAGTTTGAACAGGGCAAGCTCATATCTGCTGACAATGTTCTCCACAAATATATCACTTGATAGCCAGTTCGTCTTTCCATAAAGACATGTTGAAGCCTAGAAAAGACCTACTGGAAAAATATATCCAGCAATGGCTCAAAATCCTAAGAGTCTGGGCTTTCTTGCTTGGAGCTATTCTCCCAGCTATGGGAGGTGGGGGAGGAAGGAAATGTTATGAAGCATCCCACGTCTCTGTTCTCCTGTCTGTGTCCCATGCCATATGGGGAGCGTCACAAAAGCAGTTGAGGATAGCAGATATGCAGTATGCACCCTCTGTTTGAATATGTATCAGCTAGAGAACCTGCTGTCATCTGGTAATGTAAATCCCAAAAAACTCCTTCGAAGTCATGGGGCTGCAGTGGAGCAAGACACAGTAATGTGCAAAACGCCACCGTCGTCACCAACTCACATGACCTTGCCATAACGTTCAGAGGAACAGCTCTGAAAAGAACATACCAAACTCTCTTCTGGGAAACTCAGGAGAAGAGTTGGCACTGGAGCTCCCTGCAAAGAACAGAAAGGTGTTCATTAATACTTTGCACAAGATCATTAAAAGCTTTCAAAACTTGTCTTCCTGGTAACTGTCTAATCCCAGTGGGTAACAAACATTACATTAAAAAAAAAGAGCTATTCAGGATTACATGACAGAGCTGCTAATGGCTTTGAACAAAAATATGCCACAACTCCTTTCAGGAATGAGCATTACTATAAATAGGACTTAATCATTAAAATCTGTCCGTGATGGCTTATTTCCTACCAAAACCACAACGGGATTCTTGTGCTATTTGGGACAATGCTGCATTAATGCGACCCCACAGTGCACTACACGTTGCCTCTTTTCTATGGCATGCTCTGTGATACCTTCATATGTTGCATGGCGGTTGACATAGGTTTTTCTTTCGAAGGTTGAGCCAGGTGATTTGGTAAGAGTAGAGCTGGGAGACTGGGTTTGCCTGTAGCTGGAGCACGATGATGATGAATTCAGTCTACCGCTTCCACCTATAGGTAAAACAAAACGCCCTCAGCAGATTGCAAATATGCCCTGAATGTACACTCTGATGCCCTGGGTGCTTCATGTTAACGTCTTCAGAGCTGGACAAATTTGCATTGGTACCTCACAACTAGAGATGGGCAAGAATCCCATTTGGGTTTAACTCTGACTGTCTTCAGCATTCAGTGCAGAGAGGAGTATTGGTTATCTTTGTGATTTTAAAACAAATCTTGTCATCGATATATATATGACAGCTCGTTTTGGCCTAGGGGATGAATAAGCCATCTCACCTGAGCAGGAATAAATCTGGCTCTGGATGGCGCTGTGTTTTGGTGTGGATACAGATCCACCTGTACACTCAAGTGTTATATGACACATGCCACAAAAACTGGGAGAGTGTTAAGCCAAACTCAAAGTGCTGAAGGATGCAGTTCATAAGAGAAGGGCAAGCAGAAATGAGTCCACTTCCCTTCCAGAGAAGCTATCCACACTCTCAGTCATGCCTCAGTTAGTCCATTTTCTTGAGAAGTGACTGAGGTGTCGATCAGGCCCAAGGCAGCCTGGAGGTTATTAGCAGCTGTTTTATTTAGACAGAGGGAAGAATTTCCCTCCTAATTCACATCAGTGCTGTGGAGAAAGAACTGAGCAGCCCTAACTAATGCATTCATACTCTTGTATGAAATCTAATGCTGGGTTATGATCAGAGAGCAGCAAAAAGGGAGCCCTCTGATAAAGTGCAACGTATCCCCATTGATCAGCAGGATCAGACTGAATATTGTTTACTCATCACTGCAAAAAGAGCATGCCCCTTTGATCCCAACAGTTTTTTCTTGCCTCCTGTCCTCTCTACAAGGACCTGTTTTGTTCGGTAACTTTTCCACTTAATTCAGCAGAAAGAACTACTGTGACAAGTAGGCCTCTGTTGGAAGCATTCTGCAAGCAAAGCGGGAAAGCAGAGACTAGAAAATGCTCTGTGAAACTTCAAGAACTCATTATCCCTGAAGTTCAGATTCTTTTCTCTTCCTCCACATGCTGAAAAGAATTAAGAAGGAAGATGGCAATCCTGCAGAGTCGTCTGAGTTTGCAGGGCTAGGTTCAGTTCTTAGACTGGTGCCAGTCCAGACAATTAGACTGACATCTTCACTGGAGTTACTTCACATCTGCCCTGAGGCAAAGTGATTCCACACTCTGGCCTTTAATTGGTATGGAGGTGTCTGTCAGATCTGTTGGGTATAACCAGTTCTCCTGCTGAGCTTCCAAACTGCACTTCACTCCCTTTGGTTTGTCAGCTCTTTTGGAGCATGGAGCATGTTTTCTACCAGGATAGTTACACAATCTATCCCACTGGGGACAGAGAGAGTGGTGTGCCAGAAACCTGGCTAGGAAGCTTATTCTTCAGAATCCTTTGCTAGGACAATCTAACAGCTGTGCAAAGCATGCTGGTAGAGAACCCATTTCTTATAGAATAGACAGCACAGATCAATTTGGCACGTCCAGAAGATCTGGCAGACTGTCAGCCACGGACACACACACACAAGAAAATATCTTCTAGTAAATTCTTTAATAGTGTTCTATTCTCAGCAAGATCAACAAAAAGACAGACTGAAACTGTCTTTTGAACAAAAATGGTCAGAAGGACTGTGATTTGGAAATCCTGAAAGAAGGGAAATTTGGTTTGCAAATGACTTCTTAACAACAGTGGGAATGGCATTTTTGTTGCTGTTTTCCTGAAATCAAGTTTTCCCTTTGGAAAATGGGAATTCTGTCATTTACTGACCTATCCTCATACCCTACTTATGTGAAGGAATACCTTTGCTTTGAGTATTTGCCACTTCTACTTCCATAAACCCTGTTTTCCTTACCTCTGGTTCATCCTAACTCCCTGCCCTGAATCTCTCCTCAGACCATTTATGCTGCCTTTGCTCTCTGTTTCCCCCCCTGCACAATGTCTTCATTCCTTACTTGAAGTCACATAGCTGCTGCCATGGGTGTAAGACCTCTTTTCCACTCCACTCCCTCCAGTGTGGGATGATGTTTTGAGCCCACTGCTGCTCCCTCCTTCTGGAAGAGATAAGCAGAAAATGAGACATTCTCTCAGGGTGAAAGATGAGAAGACCAAGGACACTGTAAGACTGTCCTCACACTCAATTGCAAGCATAGCTGTATGTCTGGCAAGGTATCAGAACTGCAGAGAAGTGCCTCAGCAGAGCAGATAAGCATTCACACTGCAGACCCAGCAGATTTGTATTCAAGTTTTGCTCCATACATGGACTGAAGGATACTCCTGTAAACCCTCATCATAAATGAGACAATAGTGCAATTCCTTTCCAATCGAGCTGCAGCAAGCTAATCAAGAATATGGTGGCATAAAGAGCATGGAGGATTCTTCCTTACTTGGTACTTGTACTTCCCTACAGAGGTAGAAATCACCCATGACATCTGGTATTACACAAAAAGATTCACTCACTGTTGTCAACTGGGTAAGATGACAAGAGAATACACTGCAGCCCCAGCAGTGGAGGCTGCAGACCCATCACTTTTGACCCTTGTCCCCAAGAGACACTCTTACCACTGGAGACCCTATATTTGGGCTCAAGCCCTTGAAGAGTCTGGTCTACCAGTCTTAGTGGACTGTGTGGCTTTGTTTCTGACAATATCCAGACAACTCCCCACATACTGCTCCTTCTCGCCACCAGCAAGTATTCTGGGAGAGGCATTTCTGAAAACAGCTTCTCTTTGGGTGCAAATATTTCTGCACTGAGACCTGCTGGACCCAGCGATTTATGAAAATAATACAGTCAGATAGCATGGAGGGGCACAGAACACTAAGTAGAAGTAATCACAATGACTTACTGGGTGGTAAGGATGTCAGTCTTGTGGTTACAGTCTCTGTAATAACTGAGGAAAGAAAAAGGCGCAGATGTAATGGCATGTTAACAGAGCCAAACAAGATCAATGTTCTACTTAATTTCCATGGAATAGCATGACTCTTTCAAAGAAGATTGACTCATTTAAAGAAATATCCCCCAAAATCATACTGCCTGGGGGCTGGAGCCTCATTAGGAAATGATGCTGTGTGTTTGTTTGCAGGCCATTCTAATTCTGCAATAATTAAGAACATCACTGGCACAAAAAGCTTTTTTTCTTTAGAAGATCGCTGTAAAACATGGAAGTATTATTACTTCTGGGCACTTCTGAACCACAGCCATTGCTGTAACAGCAAAGCCCACGGTCAGACCTCTTACTAGCTTACCATATTATATAATATCATAAAATGCTTTGAGTTGGAAGGGACCTTAAACATCACCTAGTTCCAACACCCCTGCCATGGTCAGGGACACCTTCCACTAGACCAGGTTGCTCAAAGCCCCATCCAATCTGTCCTTGAAAACTCTGGGCAACCTGTTCCAGTGCCTCACCACCCTCATAATAAAGAATTTCTTCCTAATATCTAATCTAAATCTACCCTCTTTCAGTTTATAGCCATTACCCCTTGTCCTGTCACTACAGGCCCTTGTAAAAAGTCCCTCTCCAGCTTTCTTGTAGGCCCCTTCAGGTACTGGAAGGCTGCTAGAAGGTCTCCCTGGAGCTTTCTCTTCCCCAGGCTGAACAGCCCCAACTCTCTCAGCCTTTCCTCATAGGAGAGATGTTCCAGCCCTCTGCTCATTTTTGTGGCCTTCCTCCAGATCTGCTCCAACAAGTCCATACCTTTCCTGCCGAGGATGCAGGACTCCAGGTGGGGTCTCACCAGAGCAGAGTAGAGGGGCAGAATCCCCTCCCTCAACCTGCTGGCCACGCTGCTTTTGATGCAGCTCAGGATATGGTTGGCTTTCTGGGCTTGTAGGACATGTAGAGCTTCTCATCGACCAACACCAAGTCCTTCTCCTCAGGACTACTCTCAATCCATTCTCTGCCCAGCCTGTATTTATGCTTGGGATTGCCCTGACCCATGTGCAGGACCTTGCACTTGGCTTTCTTGAACTTCATGAGGTTCACACTGTCCCACCTCTCAAGCCTGTCAAGGTCCCTCTGGATGGCATCCTCCTGTCCCTCAGGTGTGTCGACCGCAATGCACAGCTTGGTGTCATTGGCAAATCTGCTGACGGTGCACTGGATCCCACTGTCCATGCCACCAACAAAGATGTTAAACAGCACCAGTCCCAGTACTGACCCCTGACGGACCCCGCTCTTTGAGTGCAACCATCCAGTCAATTCTTTACCCACCAGGTGGTCCATCCGTCAGATCCATATCTCTCCAATTTAGAGACAAGGATGTTGTGCGGGAAAATGTCAAATGCTTTGCACAAGTTGCTACTAGCTCATTCCCATAATGCCAGCAGGGAATTTATTTATAATTGATATCAGAGGTAGGAGGAGAATCCAGATGTCTGCACTACTGGCTAGAAATGTTACCAGAGGGCAGTTATCTGTGGTTAAACAATCAGGTCATGCTACATGTCTCTAAATGTCTGATCTTGGCCCATTCTATTCCTTATTCTGACTTCAACAGAGAGACAGAGGGACAGGTGCAGAATTTAGCTCTGAACCTCTGGTCAGCACTCAATCCCTTACAAAACTTGGCATCTGCTTCTGGGATTTTTGCTATGTGACATAAATATAAAAAATGTTCTCCTTACGTCTTTCAGTAACTTCTGATCCATCTTGCCTCGTTTTCTTTGTTACAGAATCCATACCATTGCCACCTGCAGGGAAAGCAGAGAGACTGCACTCAGAGTTCTGTGAATAGTAGGAGATTACATCAGCTCCCCACAAGTCCCACCACTTTTCTCCCTTCAGCTGGGGACTAGACTGCCTGGACGACATCTGTGCCAGGGAGATTACAGTGCCTTTCCAGAGCCATGTGAGTATTACTAAAGGACCAGCACCACTTTCCTACAAAACTGGATGCTACACAATGCAGCAGAGCTGAAACAGCAGGAAGCGTTGTAAAGCCAGCAGGTGAGATAGGGGCAGTTGAAGCAAATCCACTCTGCTGGAGAAGTTTAGACCTGCATTTATATCCAGACTTTGTGGCATTATGCTGTGGTCTCAAGTTGTGCCCCTATAAAGGCTTGATCAAAACCACAGGATCCAAATGCCACTCCCACACATCTGCTGTGGGCAGGACTCACAGTAGAGGATTAGAAATGTAGGCAGTTGCAGGAGTAAACTGCCTACACCACGCCAGTACTGCCAGAAAAACCTAAGCAGAGATACTGTTGCACTGTTGACAGTAACACCGTGAATTCTCCAAGCACATTGATGCCAACGCCACAGCATTAACTTTAGTGAAGCAGAAAAACACTGGAGCTACCCTTAAACTAGCCATTTTTGGCAGCAAGAAACTTAAGGGAGGAAGTGCTTTATCTTTGCTTTACAGGCAGAGCAGAGACGGTTTGGAGGCCCTGCCCATGACTTTCGAATCTGATCCAGTTTAATGCCAGCTCAGGTCAGTCTACACAGTATGGGAATCCCTGCTGGGAATGCTGTGTATACTCTTCTTCATGACCTGGATCCCCCTCTAGTCAAAATTACGATTGCAGAGGTATGACTGTCTGCCAAGGCAGCAATACCACAAAGAAATCATGTGATTGTGGAAAAGAAACATCAGCTAGAAAACACTTCTGTCAGAAGGAAATCTACAGTTGCTCACTCCTAGTCTCTGTAAGATAACATTTCATCTTGTGCAGCTGTAAACAATGAGCAGGAAGAGATTTTAATTTGCGAGCAAGGTGATAAAAGGCCAAACTCTCCACTGCATTTGAAGACTTCTCCTTAAAACTGAAAGCCCAGCTATACCAAAAACTACACTTTTAACAGGCTGAGTCTAAAAAAAAGCTTTGGGCAAAATTGCGTCCAAGTTTTAGAGCAGAACCCAAGACCATGCCCTCCAATTCAGCTACCATTTCAGTTTGATCTTCATGATTCCTGTCACCCTTCTGCAAAGTGTCTACAGGTAGCCCCCTTGATGTTATGCTTGTACTGCCCATGCATAAATATACTGACACAAGGCAGAATGCAGCAGAGAATCTGCAGGAATATCTGAAGTTCAGATTCATTTCTATCTGTGAGCAGCTCCCACTATTCCCAGAGCTGGACAGGAACAATTTGAGTGTAGAAGACACACTATCAGTCAAGCCACTTTAGCCTCCTATCACAGACTCAGACGAACTTTGCTGAGAATGCCCACAGCCCTCACTCTCTGCACCCTAGACCCTGAGCCTGGCTAAGCAGCCCTGTAAATGTGGCTCCTGAGACTACATCCAAGTGTTTACACAACCTTGACAACAGGATACTAGCTAACCCTTACAGTGCTTGCTAATACTGCGGATTTCCAAGGGATTATCCAGGGCACTGATTCCAAGACCAGAGCTATAGGCATTAGGAGAGCTCCTCCTCCAGCAGGATGACAGTCCCCTGCAATGGAAGGGTTCTTGGTCATTCACTCCAAGGAAAGGTAGTATCTCTGCAAATCCTCCTTGCTGCATCAACAGTGGAAGCGTCTTTCAAGCTCCTTCCCTAAAAACAGATGCTGGAAGCTGTTGTCTAGATGTCAGCACTGTTGGCTTTGCAGGTGTTTTTGGCAGGGAACACAGTTTTACATTTGGAAATTGCTTTCCTACTGCTTTGTAGCCCCAGAACTCCACTTCCTCTCTGCTAGTGGGAAATAGTGACAGCTACATATGCTGGAAGATGCTAGTACCAGCATGGAGTGAATACATCTTCTGCATCTTTGCCTTCCCTTGAGAAAGGGGAATATCTTGCTCTGATGCCAATCCAAAAAAAAACCACAAGAGATTAAACCACATCTCTGGAGTCACACATGCCACAGCCCAGCCCCAGCACATGGTGCATTTTGATCTATGTTGCATGTGTGTTTGCCACGTGAATGCAAAAGCCAGCCCAGGCTCCAGCAGGCTGACTGCCCTGGATTTCCTTTATGTGCCAGGACTGACTCACTTCACCAGCTCCTATCTGGATTCACAAAGACATGGCTGTGGGCTATGTCTGTGGCAAAGCAATAGCGCTGCTGAATCAGAGAAGCCACCTGCAATTATCTCTGAGCAACAAGCAGGAACTTGTGAAGTGGGATCACTCTCAAACAGTGCAGGCAGCATAAGACAGTGCAACCCTACGGCTGCTTTAACATAAGCTCAGGGGTTGTAGTGCGCTTGTGGCACCCACAAAAACAGGCAACTTGCAGACCTTAATGGCACTAGGAACCAGAAGAGGTCTAGCACTGTCACACTTGTGCATACTGCTTCCTCCCTTACAGCACTGAAAAGCAGGACAGTAATAGATTTGCAAGGCGTGCTTAGATCTGTGGTTTCCACATAAGCCCGACACTGCAGGGGGACTCCTGCATCCCCTGTTCCACCTGACTGCAGTGCAGCACGCTGGCAAGCATGCTAAGCCTGTCTGAGATGGGACATTCAAGATCGTCTTACTATTTTAGAAGCTAGTTATTGTGTGCAATGGTAATAAAGTTTATTACAGACATTTTTCAAAGGGGAGGGGAATAGCCACAAAGTCATATTTTAAGAGAAAAATGAAAGCAGGCGTGTTTGAGATTCTTTTATTCCTCCACCATGTCCTTCCAGTTGTCACATCAGAATGCTGTTACACTCTCACATCACATCCTTTCAGCTCTCTCCTTCCTCCACTAATCAGGGTCCTGCTGTGAGACACTCCATGAGGAGAAAGAGGCACCAGCAGGTGCTGAGATTAATACTATCTAATGTCAATGGAACCCTTTGATCACACTCTGAGACTCAGTAGATGGCTCCAAACCATGTCACTGACTACATTAAAAGGAAATGCCATGGCTCCCATCATATCAAATGTCTCATAGGGTGCCCCTTCCTCTTAATCTAGCCTTTCAGGCGCCATTGTCCTGGGACTAATAGAACTGGTTAAAAAAATGGCCCCTTACCTCTCTTTACCCTACAGTCTAGCAATCTGACCTTCCCATTCTGCTTTAAATGCTGTTGCTTTCCAGTTATTCTACCAAAACCAATACAGTCAGAATCAAATCAATCACATCATGCTTCCAAATCTGCTCATTTTGTAGAAACACAGAAATGATGGTAATGCTAGGGAAGCAGGTTAGATGCCCAACCAAAGCTTGGACGTGCTGTAGGAACCAAATTCTGCGCTGCCCACAATCTGTCCTGGCTTCTTTGACACCAGTATGTGCTCATTTCCCAGAGCACAAGCAGAAGCACTGCTGAGACTTCACCCCACACTGCCAGGTGCCTTCCTTTCAAAAATGCGTCCTCACCATGCCTATTTAATTGTGCAACCCAAAGAGAAACAGATCAAAGCAAGGCCATTCTGACCTGCACAAGCTTCTCATTTCTGGTGCAGAAAGGGAGCCAAACAGTTTGGTATTATACAAAAAATGTTTGCAGAACAGGAAAGTGCTGCTGCCACCATTTCACAGATGAAGAAACGAGTCACAGAAGGACAAGTAACTACCCTGAAGTTACTCTACAGGTCAGTCCAAAGACAGGAAAAGAAGATAGGTCTTCTATCATATGCCATTATGTTCAAATTGCTAGAACTGCTGCAGAAAGGATTCAAACTGATTCTCAAATCAGACTGTTCTGACTTTCTGTGACAAAGCTTAAAAACATCTTACAGTGACTCCTAATCTTCTATGGCAAAACCATGGTCCCTAAGCAATGAGCCACGGCTGATAAATAAACCCACCTGTCTGAGACAAAGCAACACAAACTTTCATTCAGAAGCAGTTCCAGGCATTCTTGGGACTAGAGATCAATTCCTCAATAATACACCCTGCACCCACCATCTGAAGCTTCGATTTACAATCATTATTCCTCCAGCACATTTCAGATCTGCTCGGTTTTAAAAACAGCCAACAGATGATCTGCATTTCACCATGCTGGCACCCTTATGGAACAGAGAAGATTCAGCTAAACGTTATCTATTTGCACAGTTGTTTCACAAAATGCATTAAAAATGTATCCAGAGCTTGGCTTCACATTTCTTATCTCCCAGCACGTATACTCCTTTCACTTGATACTCATAAAAGATATACATTCACTGACAAACACAAAACCAATATTACCTAGCTCTTACACAATCTTACTTTTACATTGCATTTCCCACAGAAAAATGTAACATCTCCTCTACTTTGCCTGAGAATAAGCCTTGTTCTGCAAGGAATCTGGAAGAGAGAAAATAAAGGATACTTTTTTCTTCTCTTTTTTTTTAGTAATATGACTTACCTGGAGTGCTTTGGTTACTGAACTGAAAATCTGTTTTTCTTCTCAACCGTTTCCTTTCTACCAAAATTTTCCACCTACACTTTATATCATGTACTTCCAAAGGTGTGTGGAATCTGAGTGATCATCCAAAAATGTTCACCTCCTTATTTAACCTGTTTTATTCTCACCCTTCTTCTGCTTTTCTATTGCCGTGCTCTTAAACAAGTCCCAACAAAGGCGTGTCCTGGTTTCCTGCCTCACCCTACCCTTCCAATTATCTGACACTCACTGGAAAAAAAGATCTGCCTCCAGGAATCAAACTTTATTGAAAGTAAAAATGCTCATACCTGTTTGCTCAGGTAGATTAACTGTTTAGATGCCAGACAGACAAAGGTATGAAGGCTTATGTCAGGGAAAATGAACTATTACGGCAGTGCTTTCTGACACATGATCTGAGATCTG